AGAATGAACCTCCACTCATCGAGTGTGAGTGTGAGTGAGCTTTTAGAATACGGGCATAAAACTTCAATTTCTATTGGCTAGATTAACTAGATCTTGTTTAGAATGAGCGAGCTTGCCCTTATTTTCTCTGGTGTATGCAAAATTTTTTGAGCAATTAAATAGAAAGCGAATCTGTTTACGAGATTAGAATTTAACAGAGCTCTACTTCGCTCACATCTCTCCATCTCCCTCCGTCTCACTCCACCTCACTCCACCTACTTCCAGGTCAAAAATAGGGTCCGGAACGACCTGTATATTACAGCTTGTTTCTATTGGCTTCGAGCATTCTTCTCGTGGCATGCTTTGACTTGGCCTGGCAACTCAACGATCCATTTATTGCACAGAGTAAAGTAATAAAATGTGTACAGTACCTTTTTCGGCTTTCCGCGATTGAAGTTAACCCAGTAATATCCACTTTAGCTTTCGTGTTCTTGTTCAGAATATCGAGACAATCGTAACCAGGGTAAAAATATTCTCCTGGTGGTTTGGAATCTTGAAGGGATTCAATACACCAATTTAATTAATCTAACCTAATTAGCTTTAGCCTGTTTTCTACTTCAACTGTATTGTAGCGTATCGTAGCATTTTCTTTTGTGTCGAAGCCATGCATTAGTTCCACACTACGTACCGCTCAGGAAAAAAAGAAATACGCTACGGTGCGACAAGACTAAAGTGGAAAACTGGCTTTAGAAATATGGTTGCGCGTACGGCGTACCTCCCGGATAGTACAGACGTTTAGCTTCGCGTGTTCGTAATATTTGAACTGCTAGCTGCACCTTGATGCACGTTTGATGCTCATTAACGATCATATGCTAATGAGCTATACCGTTATATTTTTCTGATTTCTTCGGTCTATCAATCAGATTCACTGACTATGACACACGACTATCCTCTAAGATACTGTATCTTACTTTCTTGACAAAGTAAGGACAAATTACGGACTATTTGATATTAGATTTCAAGGAGCTAAGATATTGAACTCAATTGATAATAATATAAAATTGTTGTCTGCTTATCAGTTTCAAAAGAAAATTCTGGAAATATTTTCCCTCAGATATTGACTTTTTGAAACGAGTCTCTATTGTCCATAATATTTTAAGTTTTCAACTACTATATATTTGTGTTTCAAACAAAAAAACCCAAGTATTTATAGATGAAAGATAGGGGATTTTACAAAGTGAGTATTAAAATGGAATAACTTTTAAGAAGGAATTACCACCAAGATGCTGCAAGTTTATAATATCTTACAGCGAAATCCTATATGTCACGGGTTGTTGCGAGAAAAAGTGCATAGAAATGCAATTTCGTAGCACTCCCGGGGAATGGATTTTCTGTAATTCATAGTAGCACAGATGTTAAAAAATACACGAAAAAAAGTTCCCAAGCAAAAAAATTGCCAAACACCGACAAAAATGGTGATCAGTGATTATCCTCCATTAAATTGTGTTACATCAAGAAAATTTGAAATATTGTATTTAATTAATATTTCCAAATCTGGTAAAAGATTGAAAGAATATATCGGAAATGTTTTGTCCAGGATTGAAATTGAACGACTTACTGTCTGTTGTTTTCCAGCTATAAACTTTATCATCTTCTGTACAAACCAATATGGTATCTCTGTTCTCCCGATCTTTTACTAATATCAAGTCACCATGGTTTGATTTTGAACAGCTTCCAGGATCATGAGTGTGGCGTATTGTTAACATCTGTTAAAATTAGGGCAACATTAATTTTCCGCTCACTGCAGTACTTCGCTGATAAATGTACCCTTAATTTAACAGTATATATTAGCAGTTTGGGAGTGTGTGCAAGTGTGTTAATTTTCAGCCAGTCAGTTACGAGGTTGCTGAATTAAATCAACAAAAATTAGGTATTAAAAATTTGACATTTAATTGCTTTGCTGTACATATATCCGCGTTAGAATATATTGCGGCCTTTAATTGCTAATTTCATAAGAATTTCATAAGTCGCGCAACAAGGATGCGATACAACGGACACGTTTACACAAAAGAAGTCTTTAAATATTCGCGTTGACATGTCAACCAAGTGATTTAAAAAGGTGGATATTTTCGAATCTTCGATGAATCTTAATTCTATTGTCCACACATGAAGTCAATACACATCTACGAAAAATAAAATTTGGAAAATGTAGTACTGATTTTCTAATTCAAAACAAAAGGTTTTTTTATTAATGAAATCGCCTCCTAAAATTCCTTAAAACTCTTATATCTCATGCACTTCATGATTAGCGTAAAAAAATAAATGTGACTGAATGAAACCCGAAATGATTTGGTACATTATTTTTATTGCGAATGGCTTAAAAAAAATAGTGATATTCGTCACTAACCCTATCCAGACTGGGGCGTCAGATAGTGGCCGCGCCCAATTTGAGCGTTTTAAGTCAAATGCCAGATACTTCACGACTTTCCTTATAATTTATAATTGTTAAAATATAAATCTAGTTGTCCCGCTTGAATATCGAAATAGTCAGATCAGAAATTGCAAAACATTGGTTTTTGCAATATTGATTGATATTATTTAATTCTGATATTTTGGCGATGATGACGTGTTATAATGACGTCGCCATGTGTTGCCATGGTATCATCTGTTACATGTCAGCTTATTCTTGCACGGGCTTCGTTCATTGAATGTAGACTCATTGTGATACTTTAAATAGTTGAATGAATGAACGAACGAGCGAATGAACGAACAAATGAATGAACGAATGAATGAATGATAGATATCCTAATGAATGGAGCAAGAAATGGTCAATTAATATACATTTAAAAAAAGATATGACCTTACAAAAAAGTAAGTCCAAATTACAAAACATAAACCTTTTGTTGGGAGATAAACGAGTAGGTATCACCAATGAATACATGCACTTATCTTGGCACAAAATTAACTCTAAGTACTAAAGTTTAGTTAAAGTTCTGAATACTAGTTAATTAAATTGATTAATATCATATGTGGCTGCTTTACGTGGATGTATTTTTTAGACTGTGTCAAATTCCTTCCGGACATCTGCCAATAAAAGTTGCAGTTCTTCGCATGTTCACAATACAACTATTCTTGATTGCTTTAGTTATACATTAATAATAATATGCATTGGGGGCTTATATATAGAAAAAACTTGTGTTTTTATGAAATCCTGATTCCTGCCCCACGCCCTGCTACGTTCACGCAGATCGTCCATGCTTTGATGGAACAGGATCTTCGGCGAGCTCGCTGTGCGAAAGCCCCGGTATTCCCAGGCTTTATTTTCTTTCCGTCGAAAGGACGATTATTGAATTATCGTTGAACTTGTCAACGATATTCTTTTTTATATACCCTCAATTGTTTGTCTTCCACCAATAGAAAATACAGAAACAATAATTAGCTATCTACTTTATAAAATGAGAAAACTCTCTAAAATCATTTTTAAATTAGAATAAAAGCACACGCCAAAATATCAATCAATGACCATTGGACATATATTTTCCTTGGACAAAACGGGAAAATCCGCTACGTCGATGGTCAATGAAATTGCGCGAATCGTCAAAATAAATGCTTGCCATAGAATAGCAATAACTTAATTAGCAACTGACAATGCAAGCAGCATTATTCATCGATATAACGCGGGCTCAGTACAGGAAGACAGAGGTTCGATATTTTTTCGTACAGCCCGAACGTTCGAAATTTTATTTTTATATAGCATTTATGTATGATTTTTTCTGTGTTGGTGTTGCATACTGAGGTGAATATGATGCTTGTGATATTATTCTGAGTGCAGCCTATATCAACAACGGATAAGCTTGAAAATATGCTCAATACGTTTTTGTTGAAATTTGTAAAAAAATGAAAAGCATGGTCACGCGGGCGTAAAGTACAAAGTTGTTTTTTATCTGAAACTCGGTTCTCGTTAAACTTCGTTAGAAAACTTCGTATAACTGCTTTTATAAAACCCGACGGCCTTTGCGTATATGAAACAACTAAACAAGACAGCATATAATTTCAGTGTATCTTTAATATTGATTCCCTTTTTTAATATTTTGAATTTTCTAAATAAAAAAAGAAAGCAAAGTTATTTGCATGCGAGAATTTGAAATCATTTCATTGCAAACTCAACGTTTATCGATAAAGCCATTTCTTTAAAGGCAGTTTAGTTTTATAAAGAACACTTTAAAACGTTTTGCGAAGCGTTTGTGGATGAAGTTTACCTTAAATTAAAGCTTATATTACGTATAATATCATACCTAACATATATATATATATATATATATATATATATATATATATATATATATATATATATATATATATATATATATATATATATATATATATATATATATATATATATATATTGGCAAAGCATTGGGCTAGTATTCCAAAGGTCGAAGGTTCGACTTCCACCGTGGCCATGCAGGCATATTTTTCAAGCCTTTTCTCGTTAATTAGTTGACCTGCTCCTTAGGACGAAAGCGGACTTATATTCATTTATGCAATGTTCCTTGGTCAAAATCCAAGATTTGATTGGTTATGTTGGTGAGTTTTGCCGATATATTGGTTTATTATTTATTGAAAGTAATTCAAGAGTTTTGATTGGTTAAGAGCTGTGGATGAAATCGTCATATCCGTTCGGTAGTTGCCCAAATTTGGAGTTATGACATCACCATTGAATATTGAAAACACATATACGACATTATGACGTAATTTGGTCGTATATTGAAAACACATATACGACATTATGACGTCACACTAACTTATGCTGCTTATATGCCAAAAGCGGGAAAATACAAATGGCTTCCTCAAAGGAAAGGTTCGCCGACCTTGGGGAAGCTGAAATCAAAAAATTGCTGGAAGAAAAAGACTCAGTAAACACAAAAAAAGCTACAAAAGCAAGCAAAGCGATTTTTGAAGAGTATCTATGAGAAAAGAAACTTGGCCATCCAGAGAATAGCGAAGAACTTGCTTCGGTTCTCAAAAGCTTTTATGCTGATCGAAGTGAGGAAAAAAAGATGAGTCAGAATACACAAAAAATTCGCTGTATGATAATTTTTACAACTGTCAAATTCACTTTCACGAGTAAAATGTTTGTAAATGTTAAAGGTAATATTTAAATTCGTGTTAGAACAGTTGAAGAACACTTGTTTTCTCGATCATTTGTGTTTTTATACAAATATTCCGTATATTTTCTCGATAATTTGTATTTTTATATAAATATTCTGTATATTTTCTCGATAATTTGTATTTTTATATAAATATTCTGTATATTTTCTCGATAATTTGTATTTTTATATAAATATTCCGTATACTTGAAGTGTAAATGGGGTCAGTAAAATCTGTAGCATTCTTTCAAACGCTTATATTCAGTTGAAATAAATTTGTTTGAATTAATTTGTTTGATTTTGTAATATGACAACAGTTTTAAAAATATTCTTTCCTAGTCTGATTGGCTTATTCAGTCTTGCGAACACTATATTATTGTTCCATTTTCAGTAGCTTGCGTGTTCTTGTTTACAATGCAAGCGTTTACCCTAAGTCCGATATA